GTGTGCCAAAATTGGGCGGCGGCGGCATGCGGACGCAGCCATTTGGGCCTTAGATGGAGCTCCCTATGGGGCCACGAAACGTGTGAGGGGTGTGCCAAAATTGGGTGGCGGCGGCATGCGGACGCAGCCATTTGGGCCTTCGGTGGAGCTCCCTATGGGGCCACGAAACGTGTGAGGGGTGTGCCAAAATTGGGTGGCGGCGGCATGCGGGCGCAGCCATTTGGGCCTTCGGTGGAGCTCCCTATGGGGCCACGAAACGTGTGAGGGGTGTGCCGATGATGATGATGATGATGATGATGATGATGATGATGATGATGATGATGGTGATGATGACCGACAACCACGATGTGGATGATGATGATGATGACGATACTCATGATGATGAGCATGATGAGGATGGTGATGATAATGGGAGGAGGGGGGAGGGGGCAGCGGGAGGAGGAACGCGGGGCACCGTCTCTTCAAAACGAGGACCCAACACCACAGGATGGTTGGGAAAAACGACCCAGCAGCACCCCATTGACAACGATCACACGGGCACTCGACAGCCGTGCACCAATACGGGCCGGCGAAATGAGCCAAGCGATTAAATCCGCCGACCCTGTCGGCGTGTGTGAGGGGCTTTTCCGTTCGAGCCGTCATCTCCGTCATTCTTTGTACTCGTCACCTCTGTCCTTCCCTTTCCCTGGGAGACCTCTTCCCCTGGGCTCCAGCCAAGCCGACCTTGAGCAACCTCGTAATTGAGTCGAAGGGAAGCCCCTTCCCTTTGATCCCTCCCCCGCCGGGAGGGGGGGGGGGTAGCGACCCCCCCCCCGGGTCAGATACGACGCCCCCCCCTGGGACTCCTCTTCCCCTGGGCTCCAGCCAAGCCGACCTTGAGCAACCTCGTAATTGAGTCGAAGGGAAGCCCCTTCCCTTTGATCCCTCCCCCGCCGGGAGGGGGGGGGGGTAGCGACCCCCCCCCCCGGGTCAGATACGACGCCCCCCCCTGGGACTCCTCTTCCCCTGGGCTCCAGCCAAGCCGACCTTGAGCAACCTCGTAATTGAGTCGAAGGGAAGCCCCTTCCCTTTCATCCCTCCCCCGCCGGGAGGGGGGGGGGGTAGCGACCCCCCCCCCGGGTCAGATACGACGCCCCCCCCTGGGACTCCTCTTCCCCTGGGCTCCAGCCAAGCCGACCTTGAGCAACCTCGTAATTGAGTCGAAGGGAAGCCCCTTCCCTTTGATCCCTCCCCCGCCGGGAGGGGGGGGGGGTAGCGACCCCCCCCCCGGGTCAGATACGACGCCCCCCCCCTGGGACTCCTCTTCCCCTGGGTTCCAGCCAAGCCGACCTTGAGCAACCTCGTACCCTGGGGTTGCTAGGATCTAAAAAATAGCTACCCATGCCACATAGTATAAAAAATAGATCTCATCATACAAAATAGATCCCAACATAAAAAATAGATCCCAACATACAAAATAGATCCTATCATACAAAATAGATCCTACCATACATCTTACACAACAGCGTATAAACAGTATATTGAAGCATATTATTGTACGCACGACACGCGCCATAGGTTTATCATACTCACGGTGGGAGAGAACCAACAAATCAAACATAACAGTATACTGCCCAACCAGACAGCTCGCAAGCATTCCAACACGCCACTACGTTGCAATTTGTACTTAAGTACGGCGGCGGTTGAAGGAACAACGGCGGTATGGGTTATTGCAGCAGTAGCGCCTGCTGAGATTATTACGGTCCTCATCCTCCTGTTGTTGCTGCTTTCGGCCCCCAGTTGTACCAGCACTTCTTTTGTGTTGTGGGAAGGCGAGTGGGAACGGGCGGGGCCCGATGATTCGCTCGAGCTGGCTAGCTTGACTCCTACACCTACTCATACCCTCCTCGTTGTTCCCCCCCCCCCTCTCCGAGGTCCCTACTGCTGCCGCCGCCCAAAGCCGCGAGTTCCATCGCCGCGTCTGGTCACTATATAGCTATTCTGGCCCAAGCACATTTTGTGCCATGAAGAGGCCAGCCGAAGCCCCTAGTCAGAGGAGGCGGGTTGCTTTCGACCAATCTACCGATGTGAAACCTATACTGAGGGAGCACATCCATAGCGCAAGCATGATTTCGTATACTCCCGACCTTGGCGGCGTAATGGACACGACACAGCTAAAGAAACACGCTGCTCTGATTGGCAGGCTTCCCGCGGGCATGCCCCAGAAATATCTCAAAGCACAGTTGGAGTCAGTCGCGGGAGAGAACGAAAGCACATGGCACCTCGCATCGGAAACGTCATCATGGAGCGCAGGCATGGCAAAACGAATTCGTGCGATGAGGAGGCACGTTGGGCAGATGATCATCAAACATCGTACTGATAGGAAGCCACCTCCCGCCTGGCTCTCATCATACATTGGGATCATGAAAGAAGCAGGCATCGAGGAGCCGTCCGACGAGGAGCAGCCCGAGGCGGAGGCCCCCGCAGACGATGAGGAGCAGCCCGAGGCTGAGGAGCAACCCGAGGCTGAGGAGCAGCCCGAGGCTGAGGAGAAACCCGAGGACGAGGAGACACCCGAGGACGAGGAGGCTACCACGCACGAGGGGACGCTCGACGAGAGAACCAACTACACCTTCGAGTGGGATTCCGACATGAAGGTCATGTACAGAACGAGGAATACGGATGGGAGTAAACCTGAGAGATCTGGAGCTCCATACGCTGCTGATGGTGCGACTCCCGAATATCAGGCAACAGTAGCATGGGACGACGGCATGACAATGACTGTTGCGACCCTGTCGGTGAAGGACGTGCAGGGCTCAACCAAGACTAACATCTCTCTCAGAGCCGATGGGCCGAAAGGTGGTCTCACGTACGTGCAGAAACGCAAGAACGGTGACGACTTTGTCCTGCTGATCAGGAGCAGGGACGCGAATGGCAAGGAGATCCAGATGACGTCGTTCAACCTGAAGTCCATCGCCGATGACGCCATGTACACTCGCGTGCTTGATAAACTTCATGGCATCGCGACGGACTACGCCAAGCAGAAGATCGACAAGGCAACGGCCCAGTCGCAGAAGAATGAGCTCGAGGCTGACATTAAGAAGGAACTCAAGCTTGACGGTGCAGTCCGAAAGAGACCAGCAGCTTCAGGTGGAGGTGCAGCTTCCAGCAAAAAGCAGGCGACGAAGCCCAAGGACGATGACAGCGACAACAACGCCGACGCCGCCGCGGATGAGACGGACGGCGAGGCCATCATCGAGGGGGCGTCACGACTACGACGTCCAGCAGCTCAGGAGCGATCGGTTTGTATTGAAATACTTGTTCTACCCGTCGTCTCACTTCATTCCCACCTCCCGATTGGCATAGTCATCGTGCTCGCTTAGGGCGTCCCTCTTCGTATTCGTCGTCGTCGACACCGTCGTCGTCATCGTCCAGTTGCGTCTTGACCAGTGAGCCTGGTACTTGTGAGGATCTGCATTTGATCCGCGGTGGATTTGCAGTGGATTTGCAGTGGATTTGCAGTGGAATTGCAGTGGAATTGCAGTGGATTTGAAACGAAGGCTGATACACATGTGACATACTCGGTTGTTGTTTTTCGTTCCAGTTGGGTGTGTAATCAATCGTCGCGGTATTCTTCTGCTGTCGCTGCCAGGATGGCTCATCTATGGCATCGAGCGCGGCCACTGCTGCTTCGGCTTCCGGTGGAACGGCACCGCCTACGGCTTCGGGTTCTGGTGGGGCGGCTCCTCTGCCTTCGGGTTCTGGTGGAGGTGCGTACTCGGCCACTGCGCAGGAGATGTGGGCACGTGAACGTGGTCGTGTAAGCTATGCGTTCGGGGCGTGTGGGCACGTACGCTTTAATATGGTTTCTGCTTTCTCTGTTCGGGGACGTCTGGCAATATTTCGCCGTGTTGGCCACTGGGATTCTTTCAAAATCATTTGACGTGTTCGGGGGGGTGATCTGGACGGGGGTGAACACCGACGGTGTTCCATGTGTGCGTTTCCGAATCAAGATATGTATAATCATGTAAGCCTAAGCCAGCTGAGGAGAACGACCTCGAGGGCGACCCCTTCTTTATGCCACCTCCGACTGATGGCATTGTAAGCGCTGCTGCCGCGCTGGTCAGGTCCATCGCAACGGCAGGAGTTCAGTAGATGCGAGCTCCTGGTAGGGACTGCGCTTTTTCGAGTAAGACTGTGCTGTGGAAAACATATGAACAAATATGTTTGGGGCAGCTGCGCCACGCCGAGAGTTTGAAGAGATTGTGCTGTGGAAAACATATGGACAAATATGTTTGGGGCAGCTGCGCCAAGCCGAGAGTTTGAAGAGATTGTGCTGTGGAAAACATATGGACAAATATGTTTGGGGCAGCTGCGCCAAGCCGAGAGTTTGAAGTGCGACGCCGTGGGCAGGGCCGTTGTCGGCCAGTCGGGGGGGGCTCCTGTAATCGAGGTTTGATGTGCTCTCTCCAGTGCGAGCTTCAGTGCTCAAGCTGCTGCATGGCCAGCGCGTCTAATCAGTTCAGGAAGTTTGACGTTCTACCAGGTACCATTGACTTCAAACGCACACGACTAGGACGGCTAATGATGGCGGGGGCAGAGGTGGTCTCGTCCTCAGACGAGGCGCACGGGCACAAAGCTTGACAAGGTGAAAGGATAGATGGGTGAGGGATGAGTGAGCGATAGGTGAGGGATGGGGGATGGCTGAATGATGGGCAAGGGATGGGTGATGAGGAGGGGTGGGGGAGGGTGGAGGCAACATGCGTAACACATAAGGTGGATGATGAGCTGCGGTGTTTCGGTCTGGGGGTGAGGGGTGCCGAGGCCTGACGATAAAACATGATAACACGCGCGTTCAACCATTGAAACCATCGCATGAATGTTTCAGAGGTTGAGCGTGCTACTGTGTGTTACAACTATGCCAGTTTATGTTATGATCGCCCAGGCGCCCCTGGCGCCGCCCAGTGCGCCCGCGGCCTGCGCGGCCGAGGTTGCGGTGCCATCGGGGGCAGCCGTTCCAGGGCAAGTGGCAGCATCGGCGGAGCAAGCAGCAGCCCTGGTGGAGCAGCCGCCCGTTGCAGATGGGGCTGGCGAGCTCTCGTCGTTGCAGCGCAGCTCGGTCCATCGCGCGGTCGACCCTTGCCCCGAGACGTGCGCCCAACCAGGGCCCGAGTACTTCCAGGAGTCTGACCCACGTGCATCTCTATCTAAACAATCGGTGATGCCCGACGATACGATCCCATATTTCGCCAGCACGAGCATGCATGTCACCGACCACTACGCGAAGACCGCGGTGGCGTTCGACGAGATCGCACGGTGCACTGACCATGCCGAACTCGAGAAGCTGATCTCTGGAGCCTCAGCGAATGTCACGAACAACACGAATGACGCCGACGAGGCGGCCGCGATGCTGAGCCGCCTGGGCAAGAGCTTGCTCTCGACACCGAAGTACACGGGGGCGCCTGAGACGCCTAATGCGGAGGCATGTGATGTGGATTGGTCGGATGAGATGAAGATCTGGCTGGAGTGCGAGAAGGACGGGTGGAAGGTCCCGACCGACGGCAACACGAGTCCACTGGCGAGCAGATGGCAGAGGCCATGTGGGACGAATGTGTTCGTCGCTGTTGGTAGTTAGTATGTCGGGCTGAGTTGAAGTGCATGTGATGTTGATGTGCAGTGGAATTGCAGTGGATTTGCGATGGATTTGCAGTGGAATTGCAGTGGATGTGCAGTGGAGGTGGGATGATATGGATGATGAACGTGTAGGAGCACAAGATAGGATGATGATGGGGCAGAGGCGGAGGAGCGGGACGATGGGAGCCCTCGCCAGGCACATCGACGGGGACACCGCGGAGAAGGCGAAGTACAAGGCTCTCAAGGGCAGGACCGCCAAGGCGGACTTCAGGTCGGAGTGGGCGAAGCATGAGAAGGCCACCCAGCTGAAGAAGGAGAAAAAATACATTCAGATGGAGGAGAAGGTGGACGTCAAGAAGTTCAGGTACAGGTCCCTCGCCCGCATGGCATGGCTGGAGGGCGGCGGCAAGCAGGGCCTCCAAGACGCCACGACGGCGGCGATCCAGTGTATGCAGCTCGGCCCGCCATTCGTGAAGGTGGACGAGTGGACGAAGAACTTCAAGTTCGCGCACTTCGAGGAGGGGAGCGACGAGTATTTCAAGCAGCAGTGGGCCACTGAGGTGACCAGGATCCTGCACAAGAACCTGGAGCAGCCAGCCCAGGACCCTGGCAGTGCATCGGCGGCAGCGCCCGCCCCTGGCAGTGCATCGGGGGCAGCGCCCGCGGGGCAGCAGGCAGATGCAGGCACGCAGGCAGCTGACGCACCCGCGTCCAAGAGGCAGAGGCTCACCACTGGCGCGGCAGCGGCAAGTGGCGGGAGCACGCCAGCGAGCGGCGGGGTGGCGGCACAGGCGCCACTGGAATTATCATACGTAACATCCCCTCCTCCTGTCACCCCAACTCCCATACACAACCATTGGTTTGCCCGAGGTAAGCGGCGGCGGCGCTTGCAAGAGGGGGAGAGCTCGCCGCCAGGGGGCAGATGCGCCGCAGCCGCCGCCAAGAGCGGGGCCAAAGGCCAGGGCAGGCAAGGTTGTCGGGGGTGAAAGTGAGGTGGCACCTACGATCGGTGCACGATGATTAAGAGTGAAATGATTAGGAAGATGGCGAGGAAGGAGGATGACGATGAGGATGATGAGCACGGTGCTGACCATGTACAAGGATGAGGAGGAGGAGGCTGGATAGAGATCATGAAGGGGCGGATGATGATGAATGATGACAATGAGGATGAGGATTCCCATACAAAACATTCGGCAACATTGCATCAGGTCCGAAATATCTGGGTGTGGTTTTAGATTTGATTTTCGGGGGAAGGGCCGATTGGGGATGGGGCTTGCGCTGACCGCCAGGCTGGCGACTTTGCGACCATCGCAGAGTTGGCGCGCACAACCATGGCGGCAGTGCAGATGCAGGGCAAGACTATCATGGATTCGATCAAGGCGGACTCTGAGTGGGCTTGGGCGAATAGTTCCGCCAACATGACTCCGCTGCAGGAGACGCTCGACAAGCTGGCCGACATCACATCCTCGCGCGCCGAGTTCCGCATGTTGGTCGCATCCCAGCCGCTCCCCGACCGCAAGAAGAGCATTGAGAAGAGCGGGGGCGATGGCGAGCTGGAGTCTTTCGAGCAGCTCTGCAAGGACTTCACTGCCCAGGTGAACCCAGCGATCGAGGCGGCCTCGAAGGAATGCCAGAAGCTTCTGAACAGGCACATGGCTGCCTGATTCGTTTGGGCGTGCTGCGCTGTGACCAAGCCACTTGTATGCCCCTCGGCCTCTGTCTTGGCCTCTCGATTTCGTTTGCATGCTGAGATTCGATTTCGAATCCGAAACGGTTTGGGATATGTGTTGATGGGGCTCTCGATGGCTTGGGCGGCGCGCGCGCCACGATTTCACGCTCGAGGTGCCTGCTCGCGCGTTCCGATGCCCATGGGCATCTGTTTTAGTGATAGGCGGCAGGTGGAACAGTTGATTTGAAGACATTTTCGCCTCAGACTTTTTTCCCCAGTCTGAGGGGGGCGGTGCACCACGGGAAATCTACTGCGGGGGAGGGGTCCACACGTGAAAAACGACCGGTGGAACAGCGGTGGATTTCCGGTGGATCAGCGATGGATTTGAGGTGGAATTGTCATAATACCTGTAAAAACACAGGGTTTGCTCACCGGTGGATCTCCGGTGGATTTCCGGTGGAACAGCGATGGATTTCAGGTGGATTTGGATGCGTGGTTTTCTGTTCGATTTGGGGCGCGCACGCCCCAAATCGAACAGAAAACCACTTCTGTGCAGCGATGTGCAGCTTCTGTGGCCGTGCATCGGGTCTGGCGGGAGGGCGGGAGTCACTGGGCGCTGCTTGAATGGAACGATTTTGAATGGGCGGCGCCTCGGGAGCGTGGCCGACCTGTGTCGGCGCATCGCTGCACTCTATTTTGACCTGCTCTGACGTTGTTGCCTAACTGCATCGATGGTGCTAGTTTCTATTGTACGACGGGGCGGGCGGGGACAGGTGTCATTCGACTAAGTGACTAACATCAGTCGATGGCACATCTGAATGCGTCTCTCTGGGGTTCGCGTGGACTTGCAACTTTGGGATTCGCCCGATCGCTCGAGCGCTCTCCACTGTCCTACCTACCTAGCTCCTGCTCCTACCCACCTCCTGCTCCTTCCCTGCTCCTCGCGTCCTCCACCTCATCACCCTCCTTCTCGAACGCATTGCGCATGCCGCAGCGCGGGCTCAATTATGGAGCCCGCGCGCAAAGTTTCTAGGAAAACGTACGCACATATCAAACCAGCAGAACGCCATCATACGCCAGAAGATGCAGAACAGCGCAGGGCAGAGCAACGAATCGGTGGTGCCGCCCTTTTCAAACACATGATGCACATGTATGCGTTAGGCAAGATGTCAGCAGCAGATTTCGCAATTTCTTGTCACCACTGCGTTATCGCTGGTGTATCGGGCGCGCCTTTCGACCAGTACGCAGTTCCACCTGGTAGACAGAGCGGGCGATACCAACAATACCTCGACCAGGTCATACCGCCCCCAGCCATTCAGCATACTCTGAGCATTCCAGCAAATGTGACCCGCATTGAACGCAGAACCACATTTGACTTCCAAGTGTCCTTATCATCTGAATCCATCGCGTCAGAACTCCGCGAAGACCCCAGCATCATGAGCAAGATCAAATACGATGATATGCCTCCCGTGTATCAGCACAAGATAGTACAGGAGTGCTTGCGCGATGGACGCCCGTTGCCACTACCACTAGCACTGTACAGCGATGGAGTTGCTTACACGTCTGGGATTTCGGGGAGGGCGGATACAGTCTTGGGGTTCAGCATCGTGAACATCATCACGCAAAAACGGCATCTTGTCTGTGGCCTCCGACACAGGCTAGCTTGTCGGTGTGGGTGTCGAGGCTGGTGTACGAATTGGCCGATCCTAGATTACATCTCATGGATGTTTAGAATCATGGGGCGTGGGTTACGCCCCGATACCACCCACGACGGATTGGACCCCAAACCCGATGACACAATCGCCAAGTGCAAGAACACGTTTGGGGCCGACCTCGGGTACACGGGTGCGTTGATCTGGGTGAAGGGCGATTGGATGGACGCTGCGAAGACACACGGGCGCCCGAATGTAAGTTCGAACATTCAGCCCTGTCCCTTCTGCCTCGCCGACTCGACCTCTCTGTACGCGTTGATCGAGGACGCACGGTCAACGAAAGGGTGATGGGGTGGGGCGGGGGAGTGCATGCGAAACTACAGGGGGGGCGCCATTTACATTTTTTCGGCACCGTCATTGAGCGGAGTATGTAGGTACGTCGTTGCACGTCGTTTCACGCGGCTCCCACTAACCTCGGACGATGCTCGGCGAATGCGCTAGTCATGCTTAGCCACACCCACCGCCTCCATTTGTTTTTGGCGCCTGGGCCTCCAGTGGCCAGATGTGCGGGGAGGCACTGCGTTTAGGCACGTGGGGGGTACTTGAGGGTAGCGAGTTTTCAATATTTGTTTTCGTTCCCCAGGACGCCAGGATTGACCACAATCCATGGGGCGATGTTGCTGATGACGCATACGAGGAGTTCTGTAGGGAGCGCGAGCAGCATGTACGCATAGACACGCCTGGGGCCAGACATGCGCTTCTGTCAAAACTCCAATATCTCAAGGGCAAGCACGGTCTGGGACGCACTATCACAGAGAATCTGGCACGGTTTGGTCTGGTCAAGGGTGACGTGTTACAGCCGTCAGCTAGCTTGCGTGACGTAGGTGCTCTAGACCAAATTACGTTGCCGATTGATTTGGTGTTTTGGAGGCCGCAACTTGGCATCGCCAGGCACAGGAATCCCGTGTTCGACCCCGACCTTGGGGTTAACCCTGTAGTGTCGTTGGCAATTGACACGCTGCATTCGATTTATTACGGGCCGCTGCAGCGATGGTGTTCTGCGACTCTCTGGAGACTGATTTGCAAAGAAGCTGCGAAGCATCCAGGCGATAGACGGAACAGGTTTGAACTCGCATCCCGACGGGCTCGGGCACTACTCATGGAGTGGCAAGCTGGGCCCACGTCAAACATCAAGCATGAAAACAGGTTTAACGATTTCACGCTGGGGATGCTAGGTGACGACGACGGCGCAGACGATGGAAATCCACACGGGGGGGGCACTATGAGACTCAAGGCGCACGAAACATATATCATGCCGTTGTTTGCGTTGCACTATCTCGAGCGGGAGGGCGGGGCCATTCCGACGTATACCGACCTTCTTGCTTCTGGGAAGGCGATAGTAAAGTTTATTAGCACGATGAAGGCGCAGCCACTTGTTGTGCCCCAAGCCAAGCATCGCGAGCTGTTCGACCTCATGCTGATACATCTTTCCAGGGCCGAGGCGGCGTCGATCCACTTTGTGCCTAAGCATCACTTTGCGTTGCATTTGGCTGCCAGGACAGCGCTATCTTTGCCCTGTGTCCCCTGCCTCCCTATCCACTCCGCTCACCCGATTCACCCATCCCCCTGCCTCCCCATGCGCCCCGCTCGCCCCAGCAGGAGGAGGAGGAAGAGGAGAAACCTCTCCAGTGTGATATTTCGGAAGGGGAAGTTTCGAGCCATGTCCCCTCGATGCGTGCGCTTGCCATGAGTAGACCGACTGAATGGGGCCCCCGCCCCCTCAAAGAGGGGGTGGGGGAAATCTATCGGTCTACTCTCAGAGCTCGCGCACTGTATCGAGTTCGTGGCTGTAGAACACAAGCCAAAATAACGGGCGTCTCCAGGATTGCACATCATGGAAACCCGATTGCCTACCAGTGTTTTCTGGATGAATCTCTGAACCACACGATCAGGTCAGTGTGCGAACATTGTCATCAAGCCAATTTCGAAGACAGGTTGTTCCGAACGTTTCATGTGATCGCAGATCTCGAGCCCGAGTCCTATTTCTACAGCGGGAAAATACATTTAGATTGATGCCCTCACCACACATGTTTGTAGATATGGCCTTGTCACGTGGAGTGCTATTGTTGACGGCGATGGGACTGGCCGCTGACGTGATCTTCAAGCCATTGGCCATGCCAATTGACAAGATGCTGAGCGCTGTAGCAGAGGATGTTGGGCACTGGCCCCCCGTCGATCGCACGCTCGACCTCGCACTCGTGTGCGGGGGCGAGGCTGGTATCAAATTCGTAGCCGAGATGCGTGGCCTGAAAGCTGCGAGTTTCGAACTACTGGACAATCCGTGCATGAACTTTCTGTCGCTGGGGGGTCTCATCATTATGGTGGACATGACGCGCAGAGTGAAACGACGCGGTACACTTTGTATCAGTCCTGAATGCAGGACGTGGCTATCGTACCTGTCACGGGCGACCTACCAACGAGATGCGGTGAATGGCATTCTGGGCGAGGCCCGCCATGCAGCCAACCAACAAACGTTGTACGACGCCAATGCTACTGTGATGGTCACATCTTGGCTGATGGTGTTCGCAGCTGTCAACAACATTTTCGCAACAATCGAACAACCTATCCGATCGCTCATGTTTCAGCACCCTGTCCTGGCAAATACGCTTTGGATGTTGAGCGCACGTAGAGTGACCCCAGCCCTTGGCGCGCATGGCGGCTCGGGTGCAAAGCCACTTGAAGTGTACACCACGTTTCCAGAGTCCGTTGTTTCAGAGTTCTTGTGTTTCACACAGCAGCATGCAAATGCGGTGCTCCGCCTTGGTACTGTGAGATTGTTGACAGCACTGGATGAGCACGGCCATACAAATGGCCACCATAAGCGGCTCAAGCTTTCGCAAGCGTATCCGCGGGTTTTTTGTGAGCAGGTCGTCAATCTAGTGCAGGATGCGGCTCGCGCTCGATGAATCGAGTTTGCACGCTACTGTTAGATAATTCACTTGCACCTCACACGATGTGTGCAAACACGTCATGACTGTAAACACGCGCGCGTGTTCCAGCATATACTGGGTTGATGGGGTTATTCAAATAATATTGCAACAACAGCGTGAAACATGGTGTTTGTATTCAAATAATATTGCAACAACAGGTGAAACAACAGCTAATAATATTACATTCAAATGATATATGCAATAATATTGTGTTTGGATTTGTTCTAGGGCGCGCGAGCAGTACTGGTGGCGCGCGTGACCTCGCGCGGTGGATCTGCAGTGGATCAGCAGTGGATCTGCGATGGATTTAGGGTGGATTTGCAGTGGCTTGGCAATGGATTTGCACTGCCACT